AGAGCCCCATTCAAGTCATTTGCTTTCATACATTTTGTTGCTTTCCATCTCCCAGCTTTGAGCTCCTTTTGTTGTTTCTAATAGATAACAACAGCTTCAAAGTTTGGAGGAACCGTTCCTCTCTTGTTGTCCTTTTTCCTTTTATTCCTTTAGCAAATGTTGATTTTTTTTTTTTTTAAAGTTAAAAGGAGCTGCTTTAACAAAGCACGTCCAGGATTCCAGGAAGAGCCAGGTGTCTTGCTCTCTGGCATCCTGAGCTCGTGGAGAGATGGAAGGACCCTTTCCTGACCAGTAAATGCAGTTGCACCCTTTTCCCCTCCATTTAGCCAGCCTTGTGGGCTTGGCAGAGGAAGTCCTACTCTCCTGAGTAAAATCTGTGCACTATTCCTTTATTTTAAGGGAGGGCATATGCTTGGTAGCAGCTGGATTAAAAGCAATTAAGAAATCCCCTACTTGTAACTCACAAACACTGCAAAATAAACTCAGAAATGCTGCCTTCTGAGTGCTTGGTGGTTACACCTGTCATAAACCAGTTCACACAGCGTTGACTCCAGCGCAGTGCTGACACAGAGCTACAGGCAGCTGATGAAGTGTCTTCATCATAGTTTGCTGAGTGCCTTGTCTATATTTTCATGATTTATTACTTCCCTGACTTCCTTAGGTGTTGGGAGGAACAATGAATCAATCCAAGGGTTTTCAGGGCAGGCACTGCTAATTGCACGAGCTCTGTTTACCGTTCAAGAGCTCCAGTTTTGACAAGTCTCTTGACCGCACAGTAATACGTGTGATTAATTGTTGTTGAGGGCATCTGCAGAAACAAACCTGGTAGGTAACACTTCAGAGCTATGATTGCTTTCTGAACAAGCAATAAGCATAATTATGTACACACTGTGTTACAACCAGAACAGGTGGGGAAAGAAAGTGCTCTCGAAGGTGTGGGGGTAAAGCACTTCTCCCCAGAGATGGGTGTCCAGAGGGCACAGGGTGAGATGACGGGGAGGTAGATTTGAAGAAGTTCCTTCTCTGGACTCCTTGGTGGCTTCAGGGGCTTTTCCTTTCCTGTGTGTGTGCCACTACAGAGGACTGCAAGCAAGGGCAGAAGTGCTGCATCACCTGGCGTGGGAATGAGGGGTGGAAATCCCGGTCAAAGCACCACTGGGTGCCAAATGTTTTCACCATTTCCCAAACTGATGGAACAGATGCCAGTGCTGGGGGACCCTGCTGGGCACTTTTCTCTGGAGGCTTGCTCTGCTCTGCCATGCTTCACCTTTCTGCCCTGCTCTGCCTTTGCTCTGTCTGGTGCTTGCATTTGTTCCCCCTGGAACAGGGCTCTTCCTGCCCCGTGGAGGCAACCTACCCCATATGCAGGTACTTCCTTACCCAGAGAGGCTCAGGGTGATGCCATGAGTTGTCCCCAGGCTCACCCCAAGCAGAAGGACCTTCCTCCTTGTTCTACACTGCTCTTGTCTTGCTGCAGGTCTTTGGAGCTGGTGCTGCTGGGGAAGGTGTTGGGATTTATCTGTAGGCTCAAAAGCAAGACCAGGATGGGTTAAGTCCCCCTGGGGAGACCGCAGAGGTATCCAAAGTGGGGATGTTCAGGGGGCCCCACCATGAGTCCCATGAAGTGTCAGGGACCAACAGGACTGACCATGGGAAGCAGAGGAGCTGGTGACAAAGGGAAGGTGATCAGTAGCTGACACACGTGAAGCAGCTCTGTGTTCATTTTAAAATACCAGGAAACAGATACAACCAGAATGACTCCACCATGCAACAGCCTTACAAAACAGGAGAGGAAACATAAACACAGGTTTAATTGCCCACTGCACTGAAACTGCTTTATCCTGCATAACCTCATTATTTCTAGACAATTTGGCCCAGGCCATATGGTGGGAGGTGAAGTGGGAAATTTCCCACTGCTGCAGCAGCCTGCCAAGTGGGGTTATTACACCCCACAGGTGAGAGTACCTCTGCACAAAGCCCTCCCCAGAACCTTGGAGGTGAGGTGCAGCCCCAACCCTGTCCCCCACAGGGCCCTCACAGCCAGGCTCTAAGAGCAGTGGGGAAGGGGCTGCACTGCTGGGAGGGTTCTTCAGTGTCACCTTCAACTCTCCCCAGCCTTTCCTGGGTACTGGGCAGCTCAGCTGGTTGGGCAGAACAATTTTCTTCCCCCAATTTTGAAGTTTAAAGCCACCATAAGCCGTTGTAGCGTGTTTATAGCATCCAGCATTTTCCCATCTGGCCCTCCTCAAGCTGCTCATCCCATTCAGAACACAGAAAGAATGACAAGGAAAATGTAGTGGGAGTACACGAAACGGCCAACCTGCCTGGGGCCCTGAATGGGAGCAAACAGCACGAGGGCACGTTGTGCACAGGCCCAGGGACATGTAGTGAGGTTAATTGCTCTGCCCAGTTTTAGTCCATCCTGCTCCAGAGAGGGAATTCACTTTCCTGGACATGGGGAAACAAAGCAGGCCGGTTTGTGGGAAAGAAAAGCTTGTTCTTTTAATCTGTCTGAAAGCTTTTGGTACGTCAAAGTCCTGGCAAGAAGAGATGTCACTGATATAATTGGTGTGGGCAATTGCAAAGGTTTTGATAAAGACCTCTGTGAAAGAGTTATTCATGGGAGGCAAAGAAGGGTCATGGGTTGGGCAGGAGCTAAGAAACCAAAACCCCCCCAGCAGGACGAGGGCTGAGGAAATGTCACACAGCTCTGTATCCCACACAGTGCCCTCCAACAGCAAAGCCTGTCCGGCGCTGATGAGGAATTGCCAGGGGCACCATCAAAGCCAGAGGAACAGGCCAGAGTGGGGGAAGATCATCCCCCCTCATGGACACAGTCTGGGTAAGGCTCCTTGGGAAGAAAGGGATGATGGTTGTGAACACCAGGTAAGTCCAGGCCAGCTGCCACCTCTCGAAGCGAAAACCCAGCTCAGGCCATGGGCAGCTCACCACAGTGCTCCACTGCAGGCTGCAAATATATATGATCCCAAAAACTCCTAAAGAAATGAAGATACTGGATAAAGATCAGGGGAGAAAGCAGCAGGGAACTGTCCAAATGCTCGGATAGGAAGGAAGAGGAGGTCCTCTTCTGGGATTGCTGCCTCTCACCAGCTCCCAAATGACACATCAAAAAGAGACGAGGGGAGAGTTTCTGAGATGGGAAAGTAAGAGAGTTAGAAATAGATTCTAGCTAGAATTGAAATGATTTTAATTTCTAGGTGAAGTGAGTAAAAAGTAACATAATGGCAGAATACAAAATAACAAACAGCACAAGAAGGTACATATAAGTACTCCTATTTTCACTTTTCACATAAAAAGAGAACAAAGGGACAGTCAATAAAGCTGAGCAGCAGCACATGTACGAGGAGAAGCAAAATGCTGTTGTTCTAATGCACTGTGCATAATCATCCAGGGAGCTCCCTGTTCCAGCACAGCACTAAAATCACAGATGCAGAGAGACTTGCAAGAAAGGGACAGGAATGTACCTGAAAGGAAAGACCATTTGCAGTTAAACTTGCTGTATGTGAGTTACATGAGCAGTAAGCAATAATATGGGTTTTAAGAGAGAAATTCTCATACAAACAGCAATAAATGGGAGGGGGGCAGAGATCCCCAATGGCAAATTACTCCAAAAATTTCTTTCCAAGGGATATCTTGTTCCTCCTTCCTCTGAAGCTTTTATGTTGACTATTGGCAGCAACTGGTGTTTGGAGAAGACAAACTACTTCTCATCTCCTGTATCTCCCTCCTGCAGCAAGACCAGAGCACCCTCCCATCTGCACTGTGTCCACGTGTCACTCTGAGGGGGGTCTTTTCACCCTTCCTCCCTGCAGCCACCTCCCCAGTGAAGGAGCTGGGCCAGTGTGCTCCTCCCACCAGCCCCATTCTCTGCAGTGACCTCACTGAAGGCTCTGCCTTCAGGGGCTACCAGAGAGCACCATGTGAAAGCCTAAAGCTGGTTCCCCAGGCTGGGGTGCAGCTGCCCTGGGTGGGGGCTGCCTGGGGACAGGCAGCTGCCTGGGTGGGTGCTGAGTCCCAGCCTGCTCCTTCCTTCTAGCCAAGGAACATTTCACATCCTCGGCCATATGTGACTGAGGGAGGTATAAATAATCCTGTCTTCTCTTTTTTTTTTTTTTCCCCATTGACGTGCAGTGATATCCCCCCTATTCATCGCTGAAAGGAACCAAAATTAATCTCAGGAACAATTCTGCCTGGTGATGGGAATGCACTCACTGCTGACACACATCAGCATCCTTTGGATGCTCCCTGATCCTTGAGAGTCCCTTCCAACCCGGCATGTTCTGTGATTCTGGACAGATCTCAGTGAAGGTCAGCAACAGGGAGGTGGGACAGGAAATTACTTAGGAGAGCACCCCAGAACTTAGATAGAGCTGACAACTGCAAAACCGAGTTTGTGGAAACCTCGCTCTTCGTGGCCTCCCTCACCTGAGGTAGATCAGAAGCCCAGGTCTTTCTGTGCCCACAAAGCTAAAATAAAACCAAACACTTTGCCCTGATCTCCCTCTCTGTGGGGTTTTGTCCTTACACTCAGACATGAGGTTTGTGTCCTTACACTCAGAGTATGAACCATCCTTCTTCCCCCAGCTGCCATCCATGCCCAAAGGATGGCATCCCATTTCCCAACCTCTGCAGCACTCCCTCATGTCTTCTTTTCCCTGCCTCCCAGGCACATCTGGCATGCTCTCCCACCAAAACACATCAGTTACAGGCAGCGACTGCTGCTTTCCCCTCCCTCCGTAACCCCAAATTCCACCTTTCTCCCCTCTGCAGGAGGTGTGGTAACAGGGAACTGGCACATAGAGCAGGGCACCTTCTGCCCATCATCCCCAGCCCCTCTGCCAGCTGATCCTCCTCTGCAAAAACCATCAATACCTCAATACCACCATTGTCCTTTAATATCCCACAGCCTGGCTCCTACCCCTGGAGAACATGGCAGTCTTTCCGACACGGAGCTGGATATTAAGAGGCCTTGTTTTTTGTTGTGTGATTTTGTTCTGTTTTGTTTTGTTTTTAAGACTTTATTTGTCTAACATGCTTGACCAAAAATTACAACAACATTCAAGTTATGCCAAAATGATTAAATAATCTTTTAAGCTTTCATACCTCAAGTACTTTAAATGATATTTTTAAGTAACAGCTGCTTTCATATCCTTTCCACATAAAAATACACAGTATTTGGAAGATACCTTAGGAAAAAATTATTTTTTAAGAGAATAGTTTATGGTCCACATAGAAATGTTGCTGAGGCAAATAAAAGGACCTCTTCCCCCCACTTTAACATTTTAGTCTCTTAAGTGCCATGAGCAAATGTAAAAATTTCAGACTTTAACATACAGCCAATTTCCTGCCACATTTGTTGCAAACTGCTTGAATTGTGACTAGCTAAGACACTTTTATTCTAACTACAGTGCTATTGTTCATCTTCCCAGTGACGGCAGGAGTTCATATTCAACTATGAATTTCAGTTCTTGCTGATTTAGGAGTTGATCTGCAATTTCTACACCAGTAGCTCTGACAAAAGTGGCCCCCTCTGAATTCACGGCAGGCTGCTCAAGCACTTGGGAACCAACCACTCACCCAAAACCCACTTGCAGGCGTCAAAGACTGTTTTGGGTTTCGTTTTCAGGAAAAAGCAGCACATCCGTTTAGACACAAGGTCACCCAACAGGTTACAAAGAATGACAGACCTGTGACTTGTCATGTTTTCCGGGGGTCTGGTGGTTTCCTGTGGGTCCAAGTTAGTGACTGGGCTGGAATATCTCGGCTCCCAGCAGCTGATGGAAGAGCTGCTGCCCATGGGAAACAGCAAAAAGCAGTGTTTCTGCCCACCTGGCTCAGAGTTGCAGCTGACACAGCCTAGTTTTGCAACACAGGTATTTTAGATTGTGCCTGTGTGTCATGTACATGCAGCTGCCACGTGAAGCTCACATTTACATCCACGTATTGGGCAAAAAGTAACACACACAATTATCCAGTGCATGAGTGCAGAGGTGGACCACGCACAGACCTGCAGACAGCTCTGAACTGGCACTGCTGAGCTCTGCCCAACGTGTGGGAACAAGATTAACATCTAGATGCCATCAGCCCCAAATTGAGGATGTCCACATTCAGAATACAGCAGCTAAACAACCTCCATCAAGGCAAAAGGAGATGTTGGTTAGTCCAAGGCAGAAATCCATGTCTTTTTTTTGGTGGGTTTCCAATCAATTCTTAAGCTTCTGCCTAGGACAGGACTGAAATCCCAGCAGCTTCAACACCTCTGCTGGCCTGCAGGAGAGCTGCATGGGCAGTGCCACTGTGGGCCACCCCAACCAGCTCGTGGCACGTCCCCTGCTCTGCCTGGTGGCACCTACAGCACCAGGGATAGATTTCAGGTTGTCCTGGGCCTCTCTCAGCAGTGTCCATGAGTGGGCAAACAGCAACCCCAGGGGAGGTGCCCTCTGCCCTGTGCCCATCGGTGTGTGCTCGTTGCAGCTCCCTAGAAGTGAATCCCCAAACCCCACCTTGGGATGGCACCTTCCCTGTAACATCCACAATGTTCCCCGAGGACAAAATAATCACAATGACATTTAACCCCTCCTGAACAGGGCCAGACTCAAACCAGTCATCTCAGCATTAGCTGCATGTCCCATCAGCAGGTTTTAAACTCATGGTCCCAGTGGGTTTTATTTAAAACACCGTTACTGATCGTTGGGTGGGCTTTTTGTGTTTTTTCTCTTTTTTTGTGTTCTTTTTTTTTTAAATACAGTCACCTATCTCTTTACCATATGAAAACAGAGTTATATTTTTTTCTTCTTTGTTTTTTTTCTCTCTCTTTTTTTTTTTTTTAGGGAAATGTCATCCTTTTTTTTACAGGTTACAAATTCCTGAGTTTATACTGCACTTAACACAGTCTCCCTTCTTGAATGTTGAGCTGTTTACAGCATGCTGGCAATATGCACCATTTCCCTTACCATCTGTAATGCCAGATGTAGTAAAACTTCATTTCAGTACAGTGAATTAGGGCCTCTATTGCATTGGTTTTGAATAGATGCAAAGACTTAGACTTGGAGGACTTGGAGTAATAGCTTTTCTCCAGTGACTGGTCATTTGTGCAGCATCTTTTATATTTGCCATGTTAATTAAGGGAAAACATCTTTACCATAATTTTTCTTTTACCAAGAGCTCACTGGGAAACAGCTGAAATGAGGGAATTCTAGTCTAAACACTGAAGTTTAAACTGCAAACTTTCTTAAAGAAACACTCCTTTGAAAGACATTGTTCTTTTAATAAGTCCAATACACGGTATATACAAAAGCCCCTACTAGATATATATATATGTGTATGTATATATATATATATTTATATGTGGAATGCATTCACTTTTCTGTGTTCACAAATATTTTAATGGTGAAATGTTAAGTCTTTAATCTGTTTCTGGCACCAAAATGTCTTTGTTCCTCATCCACTTTTGTTACTCGAAATTTATCTGTGAAGAGCTAGCAGGGAAAAAAAAGAAGGATTTTGGTTTTTTTTTTTGTTTTTGTTGAATGGTTCCCTATTGGGATTCTCAGCCAGCAATATAAAGTTGCTAATGTGTTGGGTACAACTTTAAATCCTCATTATAATCATGTGTTCCTTGGAGTAGGTAAGTCAATAACTATAGGTGGATTAAGTGGCTGGTAATTCACAGTGCACACAGATGCATTCACATAGGTAGTGGTTCCATCAGCCATGACACCATAACCTACAAAGCAAGAAAAACTCTGGTTATTCTCATTATTCATTATTATCTTCTTCATTTTTCAACTATTCACCTTTACCACACAACGGTAAGTGCCACATTTATCGTTTAGAAGGAATTTAAAAATTCTCTTGGTCCCCTGAAAAAACCCATCTTTGTCCTACAGAACTTTTTGCCATCTTTTAAATTGTGTAAGAAAAACCAAAACAGCCCCTCACTAGCTAGTGGCAATAATCTCTGACAACCAGCTCACCAAACCTCCTTAGAAAGAAAGATACTTTTCTCTGCAAAACTTTCTTTCTTAAAACCATTTTAGTTTTGGGAAGGATGAGAAGATAGATCTTAAGCATTGAAAAAAAACCATCCTTCTGATCATTTAGGTTTCCAGTCGTCAGTGCAGCAAACTTTGGGCAATTTTAATCTTTCCACCTTTCTTTCCTGCCCAGTGTTGAACATAATACAAGCAAATAATGAAGAAAAAGCATTGCTTGGCTCAAGGGAAGTGTGTGAGCATGTGCAGCTGGGCAGGATTTGTCTATAGCAGCAACCCCTTCTTCCTGTGTGTTTGAAGTTGTTAACCAATTTCCATCAAATTTGATGGAAAGAGTACCTTTTTTCCATCAAATTTGATGGAAAGACACTAAAATTCCTGCCCAGGGAGAGAAAAAAATGGCTTTATTAATGCATTCTCTAACAGACAAGGTGAATTCATAACCCAAGACACCATAACATTTCCACACAACTGTGTGTCTCACCAGTGGTGGAAAAGCTTCAATCACATCTTATGTCTGGCCAGACACCCAAGTCAAACAATTCCAGAGCTAAATCTGCAGAAAATCAAATTTCCTAATGCCTGTAGAAATACTGTGAAATGCTGTTTCAGAAAGTGAAGAAGAAGCCCTTCAACAGCCCTGGTGTTTTGAGAAAGCAAAAGCTCTCCATTGTGAAAGATCTTGAATGACCAAGAAAAAACATAAGCTTGATTACAATAAAACTTAAAAGCTGGATGTTGGAAACTTTCATTGAAATATGTTGATCGATATGAAGAATTCACAATCAAAAATACAGGATTTGGGAGGAATCATTCGGTAGAAAGTATTTCCATTAAAATTCAAACTCGCCGTTAGTGAAGTTAATAGGGACATGTATTTGTTGTTACATACACTGAGACCCGGCTATTCAAATCCCAGGTACCTGGGACCCTGTGGTTTTTCTGAGTGTAATTTTGTGTCTTACAGAACCATTGGCAGTTGCATCATTTGCAAACAAAGAAACAGTAGCCGAAAGCCTTTCTTTTTTTTTTTTTTTGTTCCTTATAATACCCTGAATAATGCAGGGCCTCCTAGACTCCCCATGGAAAAACCACACTATAATTAGGGACTAGGGAGGGAAGAAAACTCCGTCAGGTTCCTGTCACAGACATTTCTTTAAGCCAGTTTCTGGTTTGCCACAGAAGAATTGGTCTGTGTAAAACACAGAGTGAGCATTGCTGCTGGGACTTTGTGTCTTCTTGGCTACACATCTGAAGATTTGCTGGAAGATTCCTAATGCTATGGCTTTCACTCCTGTCCTACTGCCAGCAGAGTTTCCTTGGCATGACCTCAGCCAAGGATTGGTTGTGATGGGAAAACCAGGATTTTAGTCCCTGCCACGCTGCTTGTCACTTCCATGGGTCCATCAGCAGGAAACTCATGTGCAGAGGTATTTTTTTGGCAGACACGGCAGTGCAGAGGGGGAATAGGGAAGAAACATCTCTTCTAAGCATCCCTTCCCCCCAGATGTTCAGTAAATGACTGCTGCAGATGTAGCTTTGCTCACTCAGAGGAAGAACTCATCTGTTCAAATCATGAATTCTCTCTACAAAGTGCAGCTTCGTTTGCACATGCTGCCTGCAAAGGGAATTCTCCTCTGCAGAGATTCAGCATCCCACTGCAAAACAGGCTACGCAGTTCTTGTTTTCTCTAAATTGTGATGGTTAACAAGAAGAGTACCTTCTTTCTGTGCTTCAATACCTACTGTGCCAACTACATTATTTCACGAGTTTTCCCATTCTAGGGAGGTGCCATTCTCTTCCCTTGAGAGCCAAAGTTGGGCTTGGTTTTAGCAGATGTGATTTTGTTTACCTGCCTGAAGCTTCATGGCTTGCTGTTTGCTTGGATCCCCTGCAACCCACTTGGCTCACAGTTTCTGAAATGGTGATGAGTTTGAACTGTATTCACCAGCTCTTCTGGTTGGAATGTCAAAGATGCTCTAAAAGCATCATTGTTTACTCTGTGATTTAACAGCACTTAGGACATTAACCAGGCATTAGCAGAACACCACAGAGGAGAATGGACCTAATCCCTGAGCTGTAAAACAATGATCTGAACATCTTCTCCTTTAATTTTACACCAGCACACCCTCTCAGCAATGTCCCTTCTAATGCGGGGTGAAAGCCCCCAGCAGCAAGCCAGGATGGGATTTCTTGGGAAGGGACACGTTTCTTCTCAAAACCAGGATGCCAGCTACTCCAGTTTTTCCATTTCTGCCCTGGTGAGACCTACAGAGATCCTACATCCAAGGCTGGAGCAGGCCCAGAAGCAGAAATCTGGCAGTAGGGTAGCACCTTCTCCTGCCAGTAAGTTAATATTGCCAAGGACTAAGCAGCTGATAATGAACAGTTACATGCCAGTGGGTTACCTTTTGTACAGCCCAGTGGTTTCTTCTTCTGGGGGCACTGCTTGAAATCCTTGATATGTGAACAGGGCAGACAGCATCTACCTCTCCCTTTGCCTGGAGATGCACTCCTCCTGTCACCAACTTCAGCAGAGCATTTTTGGCACCATTTACCTACTTATGTGAAGGGAACTAATTTTTTTCCCAGCTAAATATCAAATAGTCAAGAGAACTGCTTTGTTTCATTTGGGCACCAAATGTTTCCCCTGCCAAAGCAGCTAAATGCATCAATAAATATCTTGGAACTCCTACACAAGGCAGTGGTGACATCCCTCTTGATTCCAACTTCATACACGCCCTTTATTGTACAAGCTTGAAGCTTAAGCCTCACAAGCACCTCTCAAAGCATTCCTACCCATTTCAGAAACACAGAAACTGCAACACAGAGAGCTTACATGAATTATCTTAAATCACAGATTCAGCTGAGGAAAATACAATCCATCACTCCTAATATTTAGTAACTACTGGGCTTGTGTTCTTATTTTAAAATTCACAGTAATCCTCCCTGTGAAGGAAGCATCACCCTGTTTCGTAGATGTAGAAACTGAAAGAGAAGCTGAAGTACAAATATTGAAATGTGGGTATCAGCCAATATCATCTCTATATATGCAGCTAAATATGTACCTGAATTCTAGAAGTTCAGATATTCGAGTTTGAAAATGCTAGTTAAACCTTCTGTGTTGGTGGTTTCTAAACATACATGGAAAGAAATGTGTTCTGACCTTCATGGATATGTCCAAAAACGTGAAGCCTTGGCTGTATTCGTCTCTGGACCGTGTTCAGCAGCTCAACACATCCTACCCGTTGCATTTTCTTAGGAACCCAGTCTAGAAAACCTTTGGAAAAGAAGGGAAAGCTTTTAAAAGGAGACAGGTAATCTGCAGCTGTGCTGGTCCACAGCATTTCTGAGATTTCATGGCTTTTCACAAGCAGCCCCAGAAGAACTGACATGGAAAAAACTGTGTTGGTAAATAGAAGAGGAAGGAAAGAAAAATACTCAAGGAAAACTATAAAAGCTCATCTGGATAAAATGAAGTATGATAATCCTTACCAGTTGTTTTTCAAGGAATTAAAAAAAATCACTGCAATTAATGCATTTTTTGCACTGCTGCAAATGGGAAAACTCAATGTTTTACTCATTTTTCTTCCTTGAAGAGGGTGAGGTCTAAAGAGCAGTAAGTCCAAAGTGAGTCTCCAGACAACCTAAATGAACATTTAGTCCTGGGATCCACTTTTTTAAAATGGAACACCTTGACTGATGTAATGGAATCTGTGTTAATTAAAAATGGAATCTGTGTTAATAAAACTATATCACATTGAATCCTAGAGTAGTGGAACTCAGGTGAGGAACTTTCTGTGTGCCCAAAAAATAACATCCTCAGGCAGAACTGGTTTAACCAATTCATGGCACAGCAAGCCCCACTTGCCTAAATTTATGGACAGGAAGAGAAACTCAGGTCTTTTGCAGCAGATGTATTTAAGTGCTATATTTACTTGCACAAAGATCGGGTGAAAAACATGTATTTTATATGAATACAGACAGAAATGTTACACCAACTTGCTTCTTTGTCTAAAAATACTGCAGGGGGATGTTTACTGCCAACTGAAGTCTCATGTTTTCCTTCAAAGTAGTACTATAAGAAGGATGTTGCTGTATTAGAGGGTTTGCAATAACCAGTCTGATTTCTTTCTATTGTTCTGCCACTGTCACTGGGCTCAAATTTGGAAAACTAAAAAGATAAAATCTTCCTGGTTTTATTCTGTTGTTCTGGCATTTTCCCTGTGTGCCTGTCATAGCTTTGTGTCTCATGGATTGCTGCAGCCCTGTGAATATATTGTGCCTTTAGCCCAGAGTTACAGAGCCTGAACCTGGTTTTCACAGGTTTCCTTTTGATGTCTGCTCAAGCATGGCTAAGCAGCAACCAACTGGCTTAAAAGCCTAGAACTGTGGTATTCAAGCTCCTGGAAAAGCTCACAGATTTGCTAGAGCTTCAGGGTAGGTTCACACATTGAGAAATATCTCTTTGGCTGCCACTGCTTGAAAACTGGCAGTGCTCAAAGTACACTGTGGGGTTTTATGAAAATGGCCAGAGTTTGCCCTTGTGTCATAGTTAGAGAGCTAAGTCCAGTTTCCAGAAAGAAATTGGGAATGCAGAGTCCTAAGTGCCAAAAAGAGGAAGTTCTGATTATGGTCAAAGACTCTTAATTCATTCAGATTTGTACCTTCCCCTGCTTGGCACCTGTGAGGGGGGTGGACAAAGAGGAAGCCCCCCTGAATTACAGGCAGAGCAGAGCAACGTTCTGCTGAATTCACCAGTCACTCACAGCAGGTCAAAATTCACTGCAGGAAACAAGAAGTATTTAAGATGTTAAAGTGCAGCTAGCAACTCCTCTGGAATCCAGTCATGGGGTTTTTTTTTCAGAATAAACATCTTATAACCACAAGTTTTGTTACTTCAGTGATTTGAAACAGTTAATTGTCAAAACGTCTGTGGAGAACACAAAGCCAAAAGTGTTTCCACTTCAAAAACTTCACAAACAAAAATCCATAAAATTAACTTCTCCATTAAATTAAGCATTATTTATGTTGAACATGTTTTTGTTTACATGCATTATCACCCTTCTGAAGCCTTCCCATATGTTTGCAGCTTATTATGTACACCTGACTACACAAACTAAGAATAATTGATTACACCTAGCTAACAATTAGAGTTCATCTTAGGGTTTTTTTAATGTTTGGTTACTTGAAACAGGTTTCTGCAGCTGTCAGGAAAGTATAAATCTTTGTCACAGACAATCAAGCAGACAGCTGCAAATGAAGACTTAAAGGTGAAATTAAATTAAAAACAAAGAAAAGAAAAGTGAACTTTTGGAACAGAAAGAAAAGAAACACAAATGCAGATCTTTAGGAATCAGGGAAAATACTTTAAAAGTTATACTATACATAAAAGTGACAGAAATATGCTGATATGGAAACAAGCATTAGCACTGATACAATAATCATAAACATTGTATTTCGTAAACTGTGAAATATATGGCATCTCTTTATTAGTAATTAACAGGTTACTATTGAAATGGTCAATAATAGCTGTTTTAACCTTTGTTTTCTTATGCTGGGGGTTTCATCCCAAAGCACTACTCAAAAATAGAAGAAAAAAAATTACTCAGGTTTTTGTTACTAACTGAGAAACAAAATCCATTAACTGGTGCTTCTGCATCTAAATCACACAATTTAAAATCTATGGAATAATGTATTAATTAGTTTAGAAGGATGCATACTCTTGAAGTGAGGGAATGAGAAAGCAGCACAGAAAAACGGATGATGGACAGAATTTAGGCAGCCCTGCTGGAGGAAAAAACAGAATTTGCAAGAGGACTGATTGCTATTTATGATCATCAGAAACAGCTCTAATGATGCTGCCCAAGATCAGAACAACAATAATCAGCCTTCTGGTTAAAATAATTGGCTGGGAGGGTCAAGGAGGATCCTGTCTCCCAAAATGTCTGTGGACAGAGCTACACAATGAGGAGGTTCCCTATGTTAGGCAGAGTTCTAATTTCTTTTAAGTGTCATATATTTGTTGCCCTGGGTGTCAGGGAGAGCAACAGCTGATGGGTTCTGTGCCTGAGCCATCTATTAATGCATCAGTAAGAGAGAGACAAAGAAACAGGAACTTTAAAAAAATAGAAAATTCTTGGAGGATGGTAGAAGATTAAGAATTAAAAAAAAAAAAAGGAGCAAATACTGAGACATGGAGATGGAGGGAAATTCACATTATTCCATTGCAATCAGTGGAGATGGGCGGCTCTTCCTCAGAATTGCTATAATTATTAAATTACTTTTCAATTATTAAATGTATCATTAAAGTACATCTGATGAGTGAGGGAAGAGAATCTCTGCAGAGGTTCTCCTCCCTCTGCTGGTCCCAGAGGCTACTGGAGAGGCCTGGTGGCTAAATTATCAAGGTGGTTGAAGCTGGGTGGTGTGAACCCCTCTCTCCACTTTCCAGCACTGGATTTCAAGTGAATCTTTGGATCAGCTGAGGGTTGGAGATTTTTTTTACAGAATTTTACATTTTTTTACAGAATTTAAAAAACAATTCTGGAAGTGCTGAAGAAGCTTCTGCCAAACTTTGGAGCTGACACCTCTGGGTCTAAACAGTTAATTTCTGACATCCATGACACAGGTCCATATTAAAATCAGTCCATGGCATGAGACTCCACTTCAGTGAAGTATCAAAACAGAACCCCTACTGTGAGAAACTACCCTCACAAAGAGGTACTTCCCCCAGGATTAGTGAGCAGGGGAATGCAAACACGTCTTTCTAAAGAAAACAAAACACAAACCTTTAAGACACTTTCTCCTCCAAGCTCTGAAAGGGAAGAAAGGGTGGAAGACAAGAGGGTTTTGGGGTCAGGAAACTGGGGAGACTAAAGGTTTAAAGAAACCAACTGCCTTCATTTCACACGAAGCACTCAGCAGAACACTTAAGTACAGTGAGAGTTAAACACACAGTCACATTAAATACAGATTGCTAGATGTTAAATTCATCAAAAACAGCCTTAAGCCTTTACTGGGCAAGTTTATGTCATTACATTATCTCTATTACAAAGGTAATTTCACAATTTTCTAGGAATACAAGAAATCTCTTGTGGCTTTTATATCACCCCTATTGATATTTGGAAAACACACATGCAAAACTATTTCTTTTTGATCTGCTCATGTTGCCAGACTGTACTACAGATAAGCAACCCACCCATGCTGTCCAAAGAACAGGCAAACTATGGCAGCATTTGGGTTTGTGAGGCAGAAGGTTCATCAAGTCAGCATGGGGAGGAAAAATACAGATTCTGGGTACTTGTTAAAGTGATATAAACCAAGATCCTAATCCTGCATTTCTCTTCAAGCAGGCTTCATGCTTTCAATATAGTAATTTCACCACTGGCAGATTAGACAGATGCACAGGTAAATGAGCCCCTGCTTATTTATAAAGCTCCTTAAGGCTTTATGTGCTAAGGTTTTATTTTTCAAGCCATTATTTAATTCCCTACCATTGAGCACAGGTATCATAGGCAATCATGAGCTGAAGTCCTGGTGCTGCTGAAATCAGTATGCATGTTACTTTTGACTATTTTCCAGTCAGGATTGCACTCTGCTTCTAAGGAGAGCCAACAGTTACTGCACAATCGTCCCAAACACACAGCTAAGAGCACTCGTATTTTCTTACCGAGAGGTGGTCCATGTGTTATAAGAATATCTATTCCATCTGGAATAAGGTTCCATTTCTCTAATAGTGCTTGGCCTCGTGGAAGATTAAAGCCCCAGCCATAAAACCAAGGTTGCCTGCCAAGAGAGGAGGAGAATGTCTTCAGTGCTACTTCCATGTACTGGTTATCTAATTAAAACACTGAGATTGCCTCTCCACCAGCGTGGAATTTGAAGACACAAACAGCATTCATTTTCTTCTTTGTGTGCACAGTAAACCCCTCTTTCCATACCACCAGCATTATTTAGCTTGTATGGCAAATCAGTGCAGTCTTTACCACTTTCAGCAGACAGTAAAATATTCACAGTTTTCCTCTGACTACTTACAAGACCTGGATACCAAGATCTCCATGTGTGGATCATCCTGCTGACTCCCACAACATTTAGAACACGTGTCTCAAGACACCTACATGTGAATTATGTCTCACATTGGCTCCCGTAGCATTTGGCCCTTATCCTGTGACCAGCTGGGCAAGGACAGCCCCTGGCACAGTGACAGATCCCGCTCCAAAGTCAGAGACATCCTCTGTGCTGCTTTGTTTCCCTAATTGGATGCATCCCATCAGAACAAGAATGCTGCTGCTTCTCTCACACATAAATTTCTTCTGTCCTCTGGTGTGTTGACTTGCTTTTAAGTAAGACTTTCCATATTCAGGATTTCTTATCAGACAGGCATTTACATTTTTTAAGCCATATTTATGGAGCAGCTCATCGTGGAGCAGCGGGACTGTAACACTGCCAGTCAGAACACAATTTATCCACATCTTGCTATCCCATTGATTAAAAAAACTGTATTTCACACCAATTATATCACAATGTCAAATTACGTCTTGCTGACTAGGCTCCAATTCTAGGTCATAAAATTGAGGGGTTAGTTTTAGGTTGGAGATTTTATAATCTTTTGACAGACATCTTCTGGCCACGCCAATATTTGAAGAACAATGAATAGGCTGCTTTTCTTCCACAGACAAAAAGAGCCTCAACTATCGATGACTGAAAGGCTTTCTGTGTCCTCAGCTCATCTAGCTCTTCATCACATGCCCTGGATAACCAAGGTCTGGAGAAAGAGCTGTCTAAGGAAAAAAAACCAACAAAAAAGTGAAACCTTGTACATCTACCACTGGGACCAGAAATATATCCCAGCCTCCAGAAGCTGTGAGAAGGGAGGGAGGTGAAGAAGGTGTGTGAAGAAGAGATGTTAACAGCACTAGCAATGAGGCAGAAATCTTGTTCTGAGTCATGTTGCTCAGACCAAGGCACCTGGCTAAGAAAAAGACACATCAGGGCTACAAAATCTCATTTTTCTGGTTACCTGTTCAACTCCTGGCAGCCTTTCCTCAGAGGAGGAACAGCACCTGGCTCACAGGCACGTGACTTCTCACCTTCCTGCTGCTGGGTGGTAAATCATGGTCTGGACAGGAGGCTCAGGGGAGACCTTATCCCTCTAAAATTTCCTGAGAGGTTGTAACCAGGTGGGTATCAGCCTCTTCTCCCAGATAACAAGCAATAGGACAAGAGGAAACAGCCTCAAGTTGAACCAGGGGAGGTTTAGATTGGATATTAGGGAAAAATTCTTCACTGATGGGTCAAGCCCTGGAACAGGCAGTGGCTGAGGCACCATCCCTGGAGTTATTTAAAAGCTGTGTAGATGTGGCACTTGGGGACATGGTTTAGCAGTGTTAGGTTTATGGCTCAGTTCTCTTAAAGGTCTTTTCCAACCTAAACAATCCTGGGATTCCAGTACCTGGCTCACTCTGCAGTGACACTGTCACACAGAGCCAAATCCCGGCCTGTGGAGCTTGAGCAGCCCCTCTGTACACTCAGCTCACCACTGACAGGACAGGAATATTTCTATCACACAGGAATGCCCTGAGAATAAATAAACTGAAGTTTGTGGGGTGCTTGGGTATTACAGAAGTGGGAGGCTTTATAAAAATACACAGTAGTCAGGCGTTTTCTAAACTCTCCATCCTCTCCAGCCTTGGGATTGCATTCCACACCTTACACGCCAAGAATCTTTCTTCACCCAGATGAAAATACTCCACTGTTTGGCAAATTGTCTGTAGCCCCAGAGCACGTTTTCCAGGAGCAAAATCTCACGGACAGAAAATATTTGCAAGGGCAAACAGGAGGCAAAAGGAGTGTCAGCACAGTAAATCATGTTTTTAAAGCCACTGACAGTGGATACGTGTCCCTGCTCCCACCCATCGCTCACCCTGGTGCTGCTGGGCATGGGTAGGCTTATTAGATAAGGAGATATTACATAGGTTAGGTAGATTAGATAAATTGGTAAGAGAAGGGTGCTAATAATGCCAAGGTTGTGGGTTCGATCCCTGTGTGGGCCAGTCACTTAAGAGTTGGACCCACTTTGTGGGTCCCTTCCAACTCAGAATATTCTGTGATTCCGTGACAGGATCGTCCCCCAGCAGAACCAGCCCCGAGAAACAAACCGAGGGGAAAGACCGACTTTTCCCAAGAAGAAAAGGTCAAACCCCCACAGAATAATTATTTGAAGAACACAAGGAAGCGTTTATAAAGAGAAATAACCACGACTGTCACACAGGTCTCGCCATGAGTCAGCTCAGCCCCGCTGAAATTCGAATGACCACAAATTCAGCTGCTGGGGGAGGCTCTGCTTCCTCTACCAGGACCACACTACAGGGCCACTCTGTGAAAAGCCCATTTCCCCTTATGAATAGGCATGATCTGCTTATTAAGACAAGCAGCACTTTCCCCCGTGCCTCCCTCCCTCGCTCCCTTTGTGGTGCCTGCAGCCGAGCGGGGCTGGTAAGTTATTCATGCTGGAGCTGTTCTTTTGTGAGGGGGAGATGTTACAACTTGTGTGATTTGCCATTATGCTGTCTTTTTGTGACAATCACGAGATGGGAAAGAAATGTCTGGAATATTTCTGGCAAAAAAATACACCCAAAGTCCAAGAAAGGATTGAGCGGAGGATGCTGGCATGCTTCACAGCTGAGGGAAGAAAGACAAATCACACACTTCAGTGCCCCCAAAGCAAAACCATCTTTATAAGCACGCAGGGATTTTATAAATCTCCAAGTCCCTTCTTCTGAAAATTTATTGCGAAATAGCCATCAAAGTTTCTGAGTAAGGAAAAAAACTCCCAATCTTCTCTAATACCCACTAACAAGTCTGTGACCTGGATATCACACGAAGACAACTTGGTCTAGAATTTCCATTTCTGATGGAACCTGAAAGCAAAGTTGAATTCTTCATGTCAAGCACTGAATTTCTGCATTCCTGCTTAGAGATTACTCAGGAAAAGTAAAATATTTTCATAATTTATGTTTCAATAATATTTTACATTTAACAAAGGAAATATTGTCGTGTATGTTCTACAAGAAAAAAATCTGCTGTTTTCAAAAAAAAAAAAACAAAAACAACAAACCACCAAGAAAAATTTATTTGGCAATTTAGGACATACATCATTAATGTCTCTCACCTCTGAAGTGAAGCACTCCTGCAGAAATGTACTCTGATTTAGGTCTTATATTCTTAAAGCAAACAGCTTGAGTGTCTCCACACACTACTGAAATTCAATAGTATTATTATTTTTATAAGAATAATGCTTGTCTACATATAAGACTCTAGGGGGAAATGCATCAGAAGTGAATTTGTTTACAGCACAATTAACCTCATGTTAAAAACATGTGAACAAGTTTTTTCAGGTAAAATAATCTACCACACAAAAAGGGCTGAATTATCCGAGTTTGTGGGAGCAATCGGATGTTGCTTTATGTACTGAATTTCTATCTTTCTGTTCTAAAGTAACCATTGGAATAATTTTCTTACAGAATGATAGTTGCTATGACAACCATAGCAAATTTTCCTTTTCTGAAACAGATGTCTCATTTAGTTGAAAATTAGAATGTGAAAAACCCATGGGAAAAATTAATTCAAACTTTAACAGAACACTGACTACAATGTAATCTCTTATAGGTTAACCCCTTAACATCTCTCTGCACTCTTCTAGTAACCTTCTCATAAATTCTAATTAAACCAGTTTAACCTCCTAGAAATGACCTTCTTAGCTATCATTAGCACTTTAGTTGTCTTTGAAAGGATCACTTCTGTTACAATAGTAACAGAAAAAAGTCACACTAAAAAAATAATGGTCAAACATATTACCACTTTAATTACTTATTAGGTTCTTTTTTTTTCTTTTATTCAGCTACTACTGGAAAGAGCCAACATGCAGTCCAAGAATTCTTTTGTCATTTAAATGGGACATAACTTGGTTTTACATGTGATCTACCGGAAAGGGTGATGCACTACACAGATTTCATCTGTCATTTACCTGAAAACTGAAGGTTTTCCATTCTCAAACCACCTCAATCTGCTCAGCAGACACACACACGCACAAAAAAAAGGACACTTGATGGGGGGAACTATCAGCGTACATAGATTTTTCTATTACAAGCAATGAGAGACTGAAATTTGATTCTCCATTACCTTGATTAGTAGCAAAAAATGCAGGATTAAACCACAATGTGCAGATCATTGTACATCCTAATTTCTACAGTTTCCTACATTCTTCTTACTATTATAAATAGCTACACTCCTGTGAACAAGGGGATGCAGCACTATATGCAATATGTACCCTACTTATCTGCCTGCTGTTCACATTCTTCAGGTGTTCATATTTTACATTCCCTATCACCTGAACTTAGCTGAATTTACTCAATTTTGCCTTTTTAGCCTTCCGTCAGTAATTAACTAACTAGTTTACTGAGTTGCTTTTAACTCTACTTTCTCTCCAAGATTCACAAAACCTTTTTTTCTTCCTTTTTTTCAGTGGGTTATTGGCCATTTCAACATCTAAAGTACTTGTGAAATAACACTCATCTTTCTGTCTTTTCTTCCTCACACAAGAGGACCATCCAAAGCAGGCAGGGACAAAAGCAGCTCTCAGGTCACCGGTGCTAAGAATAATTAGGAGGGCATTGTTTGCTGATGGGCTTTGAAATATTATTCAACATCTTGCCATCTGAGCCAACAGCACAACTGAGACCTAAAGGAAAACAGGTTTCAGAGGTTTTGAGGAGCATGAGGAGATT